CCATCCCATCCCATACCATCCCACCCCTGCCATGGGCAGGGGCACCTCCCACATCCCAAGGTGCTCCAAGCCCCAATGTCCAGCCTGGCCTTGGACATTCCCAGGGATCCAGGGGCAGCCACAGCTGCTTTGGGAATTACATCCCAGCCCCTCCCCACCCTCCCAGCCACAAATTCCTTCCCAGTATCCTAAATCTACTTCTTTCAGCTTAAAGCCATTCCCTGTGTCCTGTCCCTCCATCCCTTGTCCCCAGTGCCTCTCCAGCTCTCCTGGAGCCTCTTCAGGCCCTGCAAGGGGCTCTGAGCTCTCCCTGGATCCTTCCCTTCTCCAGGTGAGCACCCCCAGCTCTCCCAGCCTGGCTCCAGAGCAGAAGGGCTCCAGCCCTGGGAGCAGCTCCATATTCTCCTCTCCAGGTCCCTGTGCTGTTGGGGACTCAGGAACTGGGTACATTTTGTCCTTCTGAGATAAAACCTGGGATAATCTGCACCTTCTGGAGCCGAAATCTGAGCAGCAATTCCAGGGCAGGTTTCTCCACTGGAATGCCAGCGCTGGCTCCTTCACGGAGAGCCCTCTCTGAGCAGTGGGACAGCGGTGTCACCTCTGCCAGTGCAGTGACCTCTTGGTGTCCTTGCTCTCTCCCACAGATGGGTTCTGCCTGCCAGAGTGGGATGGCATCGTCTGCTGGCCCGAGGGCGTGCCCGGCAAGGTGGTGGCCATGCCCTGCCCCGAGTACATCTACGACTTCAACCACAAAGGTGGGTCCTGTCCCCAGCACCGGCACCGGACATTCCTGACAGCCAGGAAATTTCAAATTCCCTCCAGCATCCCTAGTTTCTCATGTGGTGCCTAATCCAAGCAGAAGTAGAACCAGGAGAAGGAAGGAAAGGAATGGTCATTATTTATTGATGCTGAAAGCAAAGCTCAACTTTTACTGGGACAATGACAAACCTCCCACACTGACTGGGACTTTCTCAACACTTCACAGGAGGATTTAAATCCTGGAGAATCCCAAACCTGGATCTGTTTGACTTCAGAAACTCTGTGTAGCAACAGAACCCCAAAATATTTTTCCAATTTTTATTCTTCAGTTCAAGGCTTTGTTAATTCTGAGTCCAGAGCCCTGGGTGTCTGAGAGCAGAATGTGGGAATTCCTCCCCATCAGGGCCAGCAGAGCCTGGGGGATACACAAAAGAGATTCCCAAGGGTCAGAATTCAAAAATTGCCTTTATCATCTGTTTTTTCTCACATGGTGCTTCATTCAAAGCAGGAGTAGAACCAGGGAGGAGGGAGGAGAGGAGTGGCCATTATTTATTTATTGTAAAAGCAAAGCTCAGCTTGAATTGGGACAATGACAACCCTCCCACACRGACTGGGACATTCTCAGCCCCAATTACCTGCTCACAGCAGGGGTAAATCCTGGAGAATCCTAAACATGGATCTGTTTGACCCCACAAACTCTGTATAGCAGCAGAACCCCAAAATACTTTTCCAATTTCTATTCTTTGCTTCAGGGCTTTGTTAATTCCGAGTCCAGGGCCAGGGTGGGTGTCTGGGAGCAGAATGTGGGAACTCCTCCTTATCTGCCTTTCCCTCAGGCTCCACATTTCTTGGCTCGCTGGTGGTGCCGGGAAGTCTGAGGGTGTTTTTAGAGCCCTCAGTGAATGTTCCAATGAACACTCGGCCCTCAGTGAATGTTCCAAGCACCCGAGGAGGGAAAAGGAGGGAATTCAGACTCTCTGCTTGGGTCTGAGCACTGGTGAGGCTTTCAGAAAGCAAGGAATGATATTCCTGGGAATCCTGGTTGCTCACAGTCTCTTCTGACTTATTCCATAAGGAATAAGGGACTGAGAGCTGGGATTCACCCCTGCCTGGTGACATCTCACTCTTTACCTCAGAGGTCAGGAGGAACAAGCAGTCRGAGAATCATGGAATTCTTTAGGRTGGAAAARCYCTCCAAGGTCAGAGTCCATCCATCCCCAGCACTGCCAAGGCCATCCCTGACCACATCCATGCAGATTTTAAATTCCCCCAGGGATGGAGACTCCACCYCTGYCCTGGGCAGCTGGGCCAGGGCTGGACAGCCCTTTCTGGGGAAGGAATTTCCCCCAAATCCAGTCTAAACATCCCCAAGAACAATCCATCCCTTTTTTCTCACTATTCCAACATARCRTGGATTCCTCACATCACTGATACCYACTGGATAAATCAGGGAGTGTGGGAATCAGATGGAGACCCTTGGATGGTGGAATCAGAGGATCCTGGAATGGTTTGGGTGGGAAAGGATCTTAGGGATCATCCAGTGCCACCCCTGCCATGGCAGGGACACCTTCCACTGTCCAGGGTGTTCCAAGCCCCAGTGTCCAGCCTGGCCTTGGACACTGCCAGGGATCCAGGGGCAGCCACAGCTGCTCTGGGCACCCTGTGCCAGGGCCTCCCCACCCTCCCAGGGAAGGATTTTTTCCAATATCCCATCTGTCCCTACTCCCTGTCAGCATGAATCCACCCCCGTTTGGCTCGTCACTCCGGGCCCTTGGAGAAGTCCCTCTCCATCTTTCTTTTGGCTCCCTATCTGCTCTACCTCAGCATTCCCAAGATCTGTGGTTCAATCCCTGATTTTGTGAGGGAATTTTAGCACACAATTGGTGCCACAATTACCACATGGACATTCCAACAGGGATGTTCTCCTCTGCCAGCTGAATCCAAGGATAAAGCCTTACTTTTCCTTCCTTCTCCAGCCCCATGAGGAGGGCAAGGGTCCAAAAACACCCCTTGGCATCACCTGAGCCTGGAAACAAAGAGCAAAGTCAGAGAAATCACCTTTTGGTTTTCCACAGGGAGAGATGCAAGGAATTCTGAGGAGAATTCTGGGCTTTGGGGCTTTCCAAAACTTCTCTCTTTGGTTTGCAGACCCAACATCAGAACTGAAACTAGGGGTAGCTTATGAATGGTTCCGGGTGTTTCCCGGCTAAAAAATGGATAAAATTGATGGATTGACACGGTGACAGGAGTTGGTGTTTGCAGCTGATTTTCCAATCTGGAAGGAGGCACCAGGATGGGTGGATCCCCACATTTCCCTGTTTTCTAGGGCTGATTCCACATCTCCTCTCTCCGCAGGCCACGCTTACCGCCGGTGTGACCTGAACGGGAGCTGGGAGCTGGTCCCGGGCAACAACCGCACCTGGGCCAACTACAGCGAGTGCGCCAAGTTCCTCACCAACGAGACCAGGGAGAGGGTAGGCRTTCCCGCTYYTCCATCTGCAGGAATTTCTGCCCTCATCCCAGGTCACCCATGGGCTCTGCCTCATTTCAATCCCCCATGAGCTCCAGCCCATCCTCCTCCGCTTGGAAACCCTTCCCAAGCTCGCCAAAGCCACAGCAGGCTTTGATGGGCAATGATTTGATTTGGAAATTGTGCTCCAAGCTGGAAAGGTTTCCTGCAGCTGCCATGATCCCATTCCCAAGGAGTTCTTGGGGGAAATTGGAGCGGTCATGGGGACCCTCAGAAGTGGTTGGAGGTTGTTCCATGGCACTGAGGCTCCCTCTGCCACAGCAGGAAATTATTTTGCTGYCAGGTTTTTATCAGAAATTCCAACGTTTCCGTGGTTGTCTGTGGGAGGGGATGTCCAAACACATGGCCACYCAAACTAGCAGCAAATGACTGGGAGAGCTGACAGTGTCCATCCTGGAGAAGAGAAGGATTCAGGGAGAGCTCAGAGCACCTTCCAGGGCTTAAAGGGGCTCCAGGAGAGCTGGAGAGAGACTGGGGACAAGGGATGGAGGAACAGGACACAGGGAATGGCTTTAAACTGAAAGAAGTAGATTTTGATGGAATATTGGGAAGGAATTCCTGGCTGGGAGGGTGGGGAGGGGCTGGAATTCCCAGAGGAGCTGTCGCTGTCCCTGGATCCCTGGCAGTGTCCAAGGCCAGGTTGGACAYTGGGGCTTGGAGCAGCCTGGGACAGTGAGAGGTGTCCCTGCCCATGTTAGGGGTGGCACAGGATAATCCTCAATGTCCCTTCCCACCCAAAMCAATCTGGGATTCCATGATCTTGAACTGATTCTGGTGTAGTCACAAAGTGGAAACAGTGRCTTGGGTCCAAAGTTAGAAAAGGGATTCAAAGCACATGGAGAGGGTCTGGTGTGCTCCTAGGAAAAGAAAAAAATCTAATTTTTATAAAAATTTAGGGAAGTGGCAAAATAGCAGCTGACAGAAATTTTCTACTTCTCCATGAACCAGCCTGGGGCTCTATAATGTGGGAATTCTCCCAAGCCAATCCCCAAAGGAATTCTGTGCTAAGGCGACAGCAAAGCTGTCACTGGTGTCACCTGAGAGGATGTGACCTTCTTGTTCCCCAGAGAGTGACATTCCCACCCACACGCTCCTGTAATTCCCAAAAAATTCATCCAAAACCTGCAGCTTTTCCATGCTTTTTGGAAAATTCCCTTGGACACGGGGCACGGAAATAGGGACAAATCGGCTGCAGGGAGGAGCATTCCAGACAGCTGGAGATAAGGATCAACCACGGCTTCCTGCAGGATCATCCAGAGGCCCCTGGGAGCACGTTCTTCATTTTCAATCCAACCACAGAGTAGGGTTTGGGGTTTGTTTTTTTTGTTGCTTTTTTCTCCTCAAGAGTGAAGCAACACATGAGTGAAGAGGATTAGGAAAATAAGGAAATGAGGGAAAGGAGGAAATGGGTTCTTTGAGGATGTGTTTTCTCTCACATGGACAAGGAGCAGAAGGTTGTGAGTGCCACGTGCTGCTCCAGCCCCTTCCCAGCACAGGGAGCTGTCTCAGGCTGGAGAATGTTCGCTCCCAGAACCAGTTTGGTGGGATTTTCCCAGTTCATGGTGGAAAGAACAGCCCCAGAGTTTTCTGGGAAGATCCTGTAGCAGCTGTTGGGGTCACTGAGTGCCTTGGCCATCCAAGGATGCACAATTCTTCGCCCTCTCTGAATCCATCTCCTCTGTCCCACCTCCTCAGCCACAGCCTGGGGCAGGAATTGTCCAGCTGCTTTCCTCCATCCAAGATTTCCCTCAGGAAAGTTCATCCTTTTTGTTTAACCCCCCTCAGCTGTCGGGGTGAATTGGTAGGGGAAGGGCACAAAGATGAYTAGAGTTGCCCATTTTTTTCCACACAAGTTAAAAATCAAGACTTTCCACCTGCAGGTGATAAAAAAGGCAGAGGGCACTGTCCTGTCGTGGATTTGATGTCCCTGCGTGGCCTCAGGGCAGTCACAGCACCGGCAATTTGGGCTGTGCTTCCCAGTAGGGTTTTTTTCTGGAGGGGGCTCTGCATTATCTCAGCCTCTTGGAAAATTACTGCTCCTGCTGACCTCCCCCTTCATGGGCTGTTTTAATAACCCATACCAAAATCCTAATCCTCATGGTTCTGTACCAAAAGCTCAGGCACTTTTTACCAGGAATTTTCTGTTCTGGCTACAAAGGTGAATGGAATAATATTTCGTATTTCATACTAAGGCAAATTAAGCCATGATCGTTCAGATCAAATGGCCAGGCCAGTCTTGGTTAAGTGGTGCTTACCCAGAGCTGAGAGCACAGAAAAAATGGGTTTTTCTGCCAGCTTGGAAATTGTGTCTTGATTAAMAAATGCCTTTCAACATATTTTRTTATTATTATCTATATTATTATCTATTATTATCATTATCTTTATTTTTATAATTTATATAATTTTACATGTTTGGTCATTTTAATAATTGTTTTTGTTACTTATATATTTTTATTAATAATTTACTTTTTAATATTTTAATAATGATAATAATAWTCATAATTAATAAYAACAACTTTGTATTTGCAAAAGRTTCCTATGTAATAGTAATAATAATAACTCTTTATTTGCAAGGGGTCCCTTCCTCAGCCCAGCCCCACCCTCAACTCAGTGATTCTGTGCCTTGTCACAGAATTCCCTGATTTTATCACAGAGGTGGCCAGGTTTTGGTGACAAAGTGCACCCACTGCAGGTCTCCTGAGCTCTGGCACCAAAACCACTCTGGAAAAAGAGAGGGAAAAACCGCTGCCCTTTTTTCCTCTGTGCAGTGCCGATGTCACTTACGGCGAGCACGGAAACGCGGCTCTGAAGCCCCGGGATTAACAAASCTCCCGTGGATTTGTTTTTTTCCCGGAGTGAACCCGCCCGGAGTTGTCGGGCTGGGGTAACAGGGGCAGGCAGAGCAGTGTTCCCAGGAGGGGGATTGGGATTGTTCTCCGCTTTTATTTCCCTCCCCGGGGAGCGGCATCTCCGCGTCACCGYCGCCAGCTGCTCGCCCGCGTCCTGCCAGGGGCTGGCGGCTGCTCTGAGCTCCTGCAACCACGGGGAATTTTGAGGAACCGAATTTAGAAGGAAAAAAAAAAAAAAAAGGCCAGAAAAAATCAGTCTGTGGCTGTGAATGTATGGATTTGTTGGCTGAGTCCAGAAATAGGTCTAGACCTATAGATAGCTGGGACAGCCCCACCCATAAACACCACGGGCGTGAGCACGTCTCTGCCCCAGGGTGTTTGTTCAGGCGGGGACTTTTCCCATTTTAGCCATGCTGGGATAATTATAAAATAATTATAAAATTGGCCAAAGCAGCAAACAGAGGGTCCCACTGCAAGGTGGTGCCCAATCCTGAATAAATCAGGATTATTGTCCCAAATAAATTTGCATTATTGACCCAAATAAATCAGGATTGTTGCTCCGAATAAATTGGGATTAATGCCCCGAATAAATCGGGATTATTGCCTGGGAKAGTGGGAGGTCCCTGCTATGGCAGGGGTGGAAAAGACCTGAAGGATCATCCAGTGTCACCCCTAATATGGGCAGAGACACCTCCCACGTTCCCAGGCTGCTCGAAGCCCYAATGTCCAGCCTGGCCTTGGACACTTCCAGGGATCCAGGGGTAGCCACAGCTTCTCTGGGAATTCCATTCCAGCCCCTCCCCACCCTCCCAACCACAAATTCCTTCCCAATATTSCACCTAAATCTACTTCTTTCAGCTTAAAGCCATTCCCTGTGTCCTGTCCCTCCATCCCTTGTCCYCAGTCCCTCTCCAGCTCTCCTGGAGCCCCTTTAGGCCCTGCAAGGGGCTCTGAGCTCTCCCTGGATCCTTCCCTTTTCCAGGTGAGCACCCCCATCTCTCCCAGCCTGGCCCCAGAGCAGAGGGGCTCCAGCCCTGGWTTGGCTCCAGCAGCTCCCCATCAGATYTATGCGGTGTTTGTTCTGTTCCCACGCTCTTCCCTGAGCATCCCTTCTCAGTAGTGCAGGAGACAGGGAGCAAAGCTGGAAGGACCTTGGGCCTGGCTGATCTCCTTCATTTCTGCCTCAGATTCCCATAAAAAAGGAGTGAGGGTGACCTGTATTCCTGGAGCTCCTCAATCTTGGGATAAAACAAGGCACAAATGATAAATTATAACCTCTGGCAGCTTTTTGGGCCCTTTCCCCTGCATATTCCATAGACCCAGTGGCTGTGGATCCCTTCCCTACGTCCGGCAGCAGGATCATTGTTCTGCTAAYCTTTTCCAGCTCTGGAAGCATCAATGGCACCTTGGGGTCAAAAAGCAGGAATTTCCCTCTCTCCCATCTCCCCCAAAATCACAAAGATGCTGCACAGAGCTGTTTTTGTAGCAGCTCAAACCCATCCTCTTTGCAAGGATTGGCTGAAGGGTGAACGGGATCCACACCTCCTGAAATCCCAGGGAACAGCAGTCAGGGCCAGCAGCTTGGGAGGCTGGGACCACCAGCAGGATGGGCCATCCCAAAATCCAGCCCCAATCCCAACTGCAGCTGCTCCTGCTCATTCAGAGCAGGGGCTTTTAGTGTTTCCCAGGAAATCAGAGAAGCCGGGAGGATCCGTCCTTTCCCAAAGACAATGGGAAGAGCCTGGTGTTTATCTGAACCCCATTGTTCCAGCAGCCATCCTGGAGCTCCCTGGGGTTTGGGAAAAACAAACAACTGTGTGAAGCCTTGGAGGGAGGTACAGGAACATGTTTGGATTGGTTTATCCCGAATTCCACCAGGGAATGCCAGCAAAGGGCTGGGCATTTGCAGCAGGACGTGGGCAGAGGGTTTAAAGCCTGTGGAGGAACAAAAAAATGATCAGATAGATGGATTTTTCATAATTGCAATTASTCCTTGGTGCCATCCTCATTCCAAGCCTATGGATCTGATCTGGTGGGTTCCTGGAAATAGAATCTGAGAATCCTGGAATGATTTGGGTAGGAAGRGAACTTAAAGATGAATTATATGGGCATGCACATCTAAATTGGGGTGTCTGAGGCTCAACTGGGGTGTCTGAGGATGAATTTGGGGTCTGAGGTTAAATTGGGGGGTCTGAGGCTAAACTGGGGGGTCTTTTGTGAGGGCTGATCCCAGTCACTGTCCAGATKTTGGGGATCTAAAGAGCCCACAGTCTCTGTGGATGAAGGGAAAAGAATTGTGCAGGAAAATCTCATGTTCACGCTCTGTGTTTTCCCTGGGGTTTTGGAATTTGGTGCCTGTTCTGTGCCTTCTGTGAATATCCCATAAATTTTTTTTTAGGCTCATTTTGCTGTAAAAAAAAGACCAGAAGAGCAAGGACAGCARTTTTTGGGATTTGTTTATCACAAAAGCAGTAAAAGCCTTCCCCTGCTGATCCCAAACACATCCCAAGCAACATCTGAATCAGCAGCTTGGAGAAACTCTGCAGAAATCCCATCTGGAAAGTCCTTATTTATGATCCCACCCTTCCCAGCCTTCCCATTYCTCAAAAAGCTCTGGATCCCTGCCAGCCTCACAGCATGAGTGTTGCTGGTGTCTGGCTAAAGGGGAATAAAAAGGATGAGAGGAAATCATTGGGTACAGGGCACAGCTCCATGAAACTCCGGAGAGGATTTGCCACCAGGAAATTTCTGCTCCTTTCAGCTTTCCTTTTCCTTTTGCACTCTGGAAATGGTTGAAGGAGTGGAGGGTTCCTGTAGGAATCAAATCAGTGGAATCATGGAACTCTGGATTGATTGGGGTTGGAAGGGACCTTAAAGCTCATCCAGTTCCAGCTATGCCATGGGCAAGGACAGCTCCCGCCAGCCCAGGCTGCTCCAAGCTTTGAACACCACCTTTAAATAATAATTAAATGATAATTAGACTAAATTGGATTGAATTAAATTAAACTGCACTGGTTAATTTAAATTAAATTGGAATTTTGAAACCAGGAGCTCATGGCAAGGCCAGGGTTTGCCTCTTCCAGGAGAGCCATGGATGCCCAGGGGTGGTCAGTGGGTCCTCAGGGTGAACTTCCAGGAGACTTTAGGTGGGAATTTATTGGAGTGACAGAGCTCCAGGTCAGGTCCAGGGCCTGGCCACCACGACCTTTGGGGTTTTCTGGGAATTTTTAACTTTCCATCCACCTCAGCTCCCTGAAGATGCTCCTCAGCCCATGGTGGGGTTTGTTGCCCCTGGCAGCTGGCTCAGTGTTGTCCCACCCTGCTCCAGCATTGTGGTTTCCATGGAGCTAAGCCCTCCCTTGGGAGACCTGGAATTACCTTTGGAGAGGTTTTTGACCTCCCAGGCAAATCCAGAGAGGAAAAGCTCCTGGGAATTCCCAATCCTGAGCTCCAAGTGAGGGAGAAGCRGAAGTGGAGAGCCCCAATTTTTCACTCCAGGTTTTCCCTCAGGGATCTGAGCGCCCCGTCCAAAAAATCACCATTCCCAAAGGCTTCCCAGAGGGACTCCTGGTAGGATTTGGGGCACCTCCTTCTCGAGGAGGACACCAGGAAAGGTTTCCTGTGTCCTGGCCCCGCTGCCTCAACCTCCTGTTGATGACCTGTTGATGACCAATCGGAGCCATCCCAAAACCTCCTGCCAGCCAATCCAGAGGCCCTTCCTGCCCATTAGAACACAGATCTTTCTGGTGACATTCCTGAATGGGGCTCAGGGATGTGTTTATTAAGGCCTCAAACTTCTGGATCACTGAGAATTCCAGCTTTGGAGTGAGATTTTTTTTCATTATCATCATTGTTATTATTATTATTATTATTATTATCATTTTTACTATGAAGGCACACATTTTCCAGCTTCAAGAGGATTCCAGCTTGGCAGCAGGAAAATCCCACCGGGCTGTTTTTCTCTGAAAGCTTTGGAATCTCCTCATCCTGGCTTTGCAGAGATCCATAAAATCCTATAAAAACCTCCCCGAAATGCGCACGGACACACTCCGTAAATTAATACTGGCAAGGGCTTCGCTCCGCCGGCGCAAACCGCGGAGAAACGTTCCCAAATCTGTGGGTTCTGATGTAATAGGGCTGAGGTTTGGCATTCCAGGACAGCGTTCCAAGCCTCAAATCAGAGCTGTCATTTAGAGCCCGGCATTCCCGGTGTTTTTGCAGCCCCGTGGGTGGGGTGAGGGAAAGGAGCGAATGAGGAGAAATTGAATTGGTCGGGGTTTTTTTGGGATTTGTTCCTAATTTAAGGCTGGGAAAGGCGGGACATGCTGGGATGGGGACAGGCATTTTAACCCTTTCCAGGAACCCCTGAGTTAAGCTGCAAGTCCCAGCAGGATCAAGGCAAATATCCCGATATTTCATGGTAACCTCAGGGTTTCAAGGCCAACTTTTGGAAACAGAAACCTAAAACCTCCTAAAGGATTCATTATTGGGAGCTCTCCTGTGACAGGAACTTTTCCAATGTGATTTTGGCAAGCTCAGGTTGTGTCTGGATTGGCAAACCGCAGGCAGAGGCTGCTCTGGATTTGAAAAGGGAAAAATAAATCCAGGTGGTTTTTTTTCCTCCTCATATCCCATTGCCAAAGCATTTCCTTCCCATATTTTCTGGGATAAGTTAGACTCCCCCAGGCTGGACATCAGTCATCCAGCAATGGCTAAATTGTACAATTCCAGCAAAACTTTCCAGCTGAGCAGGAATTTTGTCTGGGCAAAAATTCCCAAATAATCCCTGGATCGGGTCAAGAGTTCATGAAGCGCTTTGGGTTCCTTTGGGGTGAAAATGCCGCAAAACTCCCCAGAGTGGAATAAACCCAACTCCATCATTAATCCCTTGCAAAATTCCCAGCTGGACAGGCATTTTGTCCAGGTAAAAATTCCCAAATGATCCCCGAATTTGGCTTAGGATTTATAAAACGCTTTGGGTTCCTTTGGGATAAAAATGCTGCAAAACTCCCAGGTATGGGATAAACCAATTCCATCATTAGTCCCTTGCAAAATTCCCAGCTCAGCGGGCATTTTGTCCAGGTAAAAATTCCCAAGTAATCCCTGAATCGGTCTGAGAATTCGTAAAGCGCTTTGGGTTCCTTTGGGATAAAAATGCTGTGAAACTCCCCGGTATGGGATGAACCCAATTCCATTATTAATCCCTTGCAAAATTTCCAGCTGGGCAGGAATTTCGTCTGGGTAAAAACTCCCAAATGATCCCTGGATGGGGTCAGGAGTTTGTAAAGCGCTTTGGATTCCTTTGGGGTGAAAATGCTGCAAAACTCCCAGAGTGGGATAAACCAAACTGCACAAATCCTATCTCCCCACCTTGGGAAGCCAAGCCCCCCTTCCCACGCTGCCGAAAATTTGGGATTCCCGCAGGCTCTGGGCTCCGTGTGCTGCCAGGGTTGTGGGTTGTTCCCCGTGTGACACTGTTTTCTCCATCGTTTCTGCTGCAGGAGGTCTTTGATCGCCTCTATTTGATTTATACTGTCGGATACTCCATCTCCCTGGGATCCCTCACAGTTGCTGTCCTTATCCTGGGATATTTCAGGTAGGCGGCTCTGCTTTTACCTAAGCGAGGGCGGAAAAGCCGCGGGTTTTTCCGGAAGGAGAAAATCGGGGTTGGTGCAGTTCAGRAAGCCGCCAGTGGCGGTGGGATCTGGGATTTGGGCTGTGTTTAGGGTCGTTTAGGGCAAAATTCCTGGGGGATGGAGGGTGGGATGTTGGAACTGCTTCCATTTCCCTTGAGTGGGGTTTTCCAGACCCTCTTTGTAGCAAACAGGAAGAGGGGGCATCTCCAAGAATCCCTTGAAAGATTTTCCAGGATCTTCTCTCCCAGCTGTCCCTGCRGATGACTGCCTTAGATTCAGATGGCTGATTTTCTGATAGATGAGTTTTTCTGAGGGAAGCTCCACTCGAAATCCAAATATTTATGCAAGATAGACTGGTGGAAAGGGGTGGAGAACAACCAGGCTGGTTCCTCCAATCTCCCCCTGCTGCTGCTGCTCCCAGGGATCCAAACATGACCCTCCTGACTCTGTGTCCCCTCCCTCCCCAAGGGATTTCAATCCCTAAATACCATTTGGAACCAGCACTGTCCATTCCGCAGATATCCAGTGTTGCATATTCCAGCCCTGGAACTGTCCAAAGACAGCTTGGATGGGACTTGGAGCAATCTGGGATAGTGGAAGGTGTTGGAATGGGATAATCCCTAAGGTCCTTTCCAAACCAAACCATTTTGGGATTCTGGGGTTTTTGCTGGCACAGACAGCATGGAATGAGTGGATGAAAGGTGCCTCCCACATCCAGGAATTTGTCCTTTGGGAATGTACCTGCTGAGTTGATAGAGCAGGGTGATCCCAAACCCTGAGCCCCAGATTTGCTTCCCTTCRATGGCTGCTCCTGTTTTATCCTAAAAAAACAGTGGGGCCTGGACAGGAGCTAAGGGGACCGAAACAGCCCGAAACACAGTGGTGTTTGCAGAGGGATTTGGGAAGCTTGAGCCAAGCCCTGGACACAGAACACTGGGAATAATATGTGTGGTTTGGAATTTCAAAATTCTCAGAGCTCTCTGCAGGGAGCAAAAGGTGTCGGGGGGTTTACTTGGTTAGCAAAAATCCTAAATCCGTGACACACTGGGATAGCAAATCCCAATCCAAACGGGACTGCAGACCCCTGTGGTGCCCGACCCCATTCCTGCCCCATCCCTGTTCTCCCAACTTTTTCCCTCCATTCCATTTCCTGCTGGACACCRTTGTTCAAATATTCCATGTCTACACATGCAAAAGAATTCCTGTTTTTTCTTTTTCCGTGCACTCAGGGCATTTCATTTCCAGCCCAGAGCATCTTTATCCCAAGGATCAAATGGGATAAAGCAGTGGGGATCAAGCCARGTTTTATCCCTGATAATCCAGGGATTCACGGGCTCTGTTTCAAACACAGGGAATGAAGCCAATCCTCATTTAAACCCTGTCAGTTCCCTGTGGTGTAATTGGGATTATGAAATCACAGAGAACACACGGTGGGGTTATCAGGACATCCCCAAAAGGGATAAAAACACAGCTTTTAATTAGCAGAGATCATTGGGATTTAGGCTATAAATCCATTCATAAATCCAGGCATGGTCACAGAGCTCCAGGGGACAGAGGGCACCCCAAGGGGTCAATTCCTTCTTCCCAAAATCCTGATTCCYGATCCTAAACTACGCCTCTTATTTCTGGCTCCAGCCCATTCACCCCTCAYCATCCAGCTTTTCCCCCAAAGAAGGACCCTAAAGCRYTTTCACTACTGGGATTTGTGGGGTCACTGCTGCCCTTGCTGGGGTGGAGCCYACAGAGTGTTCCAAAGGAGAGCATTCCCAGCAGGGARCAGGGAGAACAGCCCAGCACATCRAAGCTGCTGCTGGAGTTGCCCCTAWRCTGGGCTGGGAACAAAAATTCACAGGAATTTACAGGAACATCTGGGAGGTTTCCAGTGGTCACAGGTTCTGTAGGCTCCAGAGTCTTTTATGGAAAGGACACAGGGAATGGCTTCCCAGTGCCATAGGGCAGGAATAGGTGGGATATTGGGAAGGAATTCCTGTCTGGGAGGRTAGAGAGGGCTGGGATGGAATTCCCAGAGCAGCTGTGGCTTCCCCTGGATCCCTGRGAATGTCCAAGGCCAGGCTGGATGGGGCARTGGGATAGTGGGWGGTATCTCTGGGTGTCCCTACCTATGGCAGGAGTGGCACTGGTGGATGATCCTTTAAATCCCTTCCAACCCAAGCCATTCCAGCATTCCCTGGGTTCCCTGGAGCAGGTGTTCACCCCTTTCCCATCTCCCCATGGGAGATCTGGGAGCACAGGGGGTGATGACCCTCCCTCTGCTCCCTGTGGGGACACAGTTCTGGTGGGAGGAGCTCTGCAGAGCCAGGGGTGGCCCTGACTCCATCCAACAGCCCAACTGAACCWCCCAATCCTTCTCTTCCCATTCCAGACGTTTGCACTGCACTAGGAACTACATCCACATGCACCTGTTTGTGTCCTTCATGCTGAGGGCCGTCAGCATCTTCGTGAAGGATGCGGTCCTGTACTCCGGCTCGGCCCTGGAGGAGATGGAGCGCATCTCCGAGGAAGACTTGAAATCCATCACGGAAGCACCTCCAGCCGATAAATCGCAGTTTGTGAGTGTTCCCAAGGCAGCTGCTGCTCCAGGATCTGTGGCTTTGTGCTCTCTGTTCTATCCTTTCCCTCTTCTGGGGTTTTTTTTCCGCCCTGCTTACCTTTCTCAGCCTCTTCCCATCCTTTCCCACTCCCAACCCATCGGCTCCGAGGGACTGGCCAATTCCTGAGCTGTTCCCATGGCAGTCAGAGCTGATGCTGTGATTCCCATCTGCAGCTTTAACATTACCCTGATAACTCCTGGAGTTTATGGCTGTGGGAACATTCCTGACCACTGCAGCACCAGGCACTTCCAGCATTTCCAGGGGTGGGGAATGCACAACTTTTCTCATTCCCACCTGGAAAAAAAACACATTTTGGTAGGGAAAATGGGGGGATGATATGGTGCTGTAAGGAAGGGTGGGGCAGATGTCTACGAGACAGGGACCTTGGACAGAATCATTGTAGTTGGAAAAGAATTCCAAGGCCATCGAGTCCAAGCTGTGCCTGATCCCAACCTTGTCCTTAGCCCAGAGCTCTGAGTGTCACATCCAGTAATTCCTTGGACATCTCCAGGGATGGGCACTCCAAACCTCCCTGGGCAGCCCCTGCCAAGGCCTGACCACCCTTTACATGGAGAAACTCCTGCTGATGTCCACCCTGAYCCTCAGGTTCTTTTTATGGTTGGTTGAGCCAGTCCAGCCAACCCAAGAGATGAGTCAAGATCCCAAAATAAAAATGAGAGTGAGRTCAACTGGACTTTTCTCCAAAAGTCCCTGGTTTTTCACTGTGTAGGCAGCTCCTGTAGCAATACCTGTATTATCCATGTGCTTGGGGGAGGATGAAGCTCATCCTCACATTTTCAAGCTCTCCTCAACTTCTGAAGCTCTTCCTGTCATTGGTCCCATCGTGGATTTCCCATGGAAACCTGGATATGGCACCTTCTGATTTCTGAGAATTCCCTGCCAAGATGGGGCAGCCGGGGGGGCGGGCTCTGCTCCRGGGAACAGGGACAGGAGGAGAGGGAACGGCCTCAGGCTGGGCCAGGGGAGGCTCAGGGTGGACACCAGGAGGAATTTCCCCATGGAAAGGGTGCTCAGGCCTTGGCAGGGGCTGCCCAGGGAGGTTTGGCGTGCCCATCCATGGAGGTGTCCAAGGAATTCCTGGCCGTGGTACTGAGTGCTCTGGCGGGCATCGGGCACTGTTGGACTCGATGACCTTGGAAGAGTTTTACAGCTCCAAAGATCCCRGGATAAGCTTCCTGCCTGTGGATTTGTTTGGCTTCTCAAAGCTTTCCCAGCTACAACCAGGGACCAGCAACACCCTGTGAAAAATCAGAGGGTTTGGGAACGTCCCGCTGTGCATCCGAGTGTCCCAAATGGAACTCTGTCATTGTGTTCCCTTCCCATCCCGGAGATCCGTGTCATTAATTACGGACTCTCACTCAACACACTCCAAAACGCTCATTTTTTGGAAGGAGCACAAAATGTTCCGCTGCATTGTTTTGTGTTTCTCCTCGTGCCGGCCTCGTTGCAAGTGATAATTACRATAATAAATGGCATTCTTTGGATATTAGCTTTTAATGGCATTTCTCACCCAGCGGAATTGAAAGGCAAACAAGCAATGAAGGCGACAATTAATGCATTTCTTTTGTTTCCAGGGGAAGTGGGAACTTTGCAATTATTGCCTCATGTTCCCTGCATGAGGCAAGAAATACAAAAATTAAATGTARATTGTTCAACTTAGACAGGGATTTTTTCATAAACATAGGGAATAGTATGAAGTATTATGGGGATTGTTAATTAATCAATTTTAACCTGCTTCATCTGTGAGAGGAAATGAGTGTTATGTGTCCATATCTCATATCAATCAATGTAGAAATCTATTGAATGAAAATGATAAATTAATAAATAAAATTAATTAAATAAAAACAAAATAAAATGGAAAATTGGTTAAAATTAACACATGCATACACATACATACACATAAATATAATAGATTTTTTTTTATATATAGAATTTATTTTATTGTGTGTGTATAATATCTGCATATTCATTTTGATTGACAAAAATTAGCCTAAGATCTGTGCCAGGATAAAAAAAAATCTCTTTTTATTTCCAAGATATTACTGACATTTTCTCTCAGTTCTTTGTATTCCTCTCAATGGAAAGGACAGCACAAGGATGTGCCACTGCCCAGGGATGTGTCTGGGAGTCCCAAGATTCCTGGGAAATCCAAATTTCAGGACTCCATGTCCACCATGATGAGAGATGGCTTTGTATCAGTTAATCCCAAAGTGGGACAAAAATGATCCCATTCTGTCCCAAGGAAATGTTGGGTCACAGTCAGGGTTTTCCTCCCAAAAAAACTGAAGTATTTTGGTTCAGTGTGGAGCGAGAGCTTGGCTGAGGAGCCCATTGAGCACCAGGATAYCCTGGAAAGGTCTCCCAGATCTGGGAACAGATCTCTCCAGGTCTGCTCTGGAAACACATGGACTTTTCTGGGGGCAAAACCTCCAGGTCCTGTTTGCTCTTGGAGGATCCGTCTCCAAAGGCAGCAGGAGCTCTCTGGGATGGCTTTGTGGAGGCCAGACCTGGAGGATCCAGGCTTGGACATCCATGGCAGGGTGGGGCCACTTAATCCCAACTCGATCCCTCCATGAGCTGAGGGAAGAGTGGGAATTCCAWGTGCTGTGACCTCAGCAGGAAACCCAGACCAGGACAACTCTGCCATGACCCTTTGGCCTCCAATGTGGACAGGAAAGACGGGGAAAAGATGGAACAGGGAAATGATAGAACTCGGGGGAAAGATGGGACACGGGGAAATGATGGAGCACAGGGAAATGATGGAACACAGGGATTATGGGACATGGGGAAAAGATGGGACAGGGAAATTATGGAACACAGGGAAAAGATGGAACAGGGAAATGATGGAGCTCAGGGAAATTGATGGAACATGGGGAAAGGATGGAACAGGGAAGAGATGGAACACAGGGAAATGATGGAACTCGGAGAAAAGATGGAACTTGGAGAAAAGATGGGACAGGGAAAAGATGAAACAAAGAAATGATGGGATACAGGAAAAAAGATAAAACATGGGGAAAAGATGAAACATAGGAGAAAAATGGAACACAGCTGCTCTACGAAGCATGTGAGCCCCTCATCTCTGGGTTGGGARAGAGCAGGATCAGGCCGTCATCTCCCTGTCCTTCACCTCCCAATTCAATGTTAGGAAAATGATCTTTGCCTTGGGAGATTTGTCCCAACCATTTCCTTTCCTCTTCTCGCTCAGATTTTCCCCCCTTACAAAAACCCCCAACAGARTGTTCCACCTTATTTTGCCTTCCCACACCTCAGTTCCTGCCCTGCCTCCATGGGTTTGTGCAGAATTTCACCTTGTGCTCCCTCTCTGTCCCTCTGTGCCCACTGCAGGTGGGCTGCAAAGTGGCCGTCACYTTCTTCCTCTACTTCCTGGCGACAAATTACTTCTGGATCCTGGTGGAAGGGCTCTATCTGCACAGCCTCATCTTCATGGCCTTCTTCTCAGARAAGAAATATCTCTGGGGGTTCACCTTGTTTGGCTGGGGTAAGTCACAGCTTCCCCTCTCAAAGGAAATTATGGATGTGYGGAAATGTGGGAGGGGATGGAGGCAGGACGGGCATCAGGGGGCTCTTGCAAGGACAGCATTTTCCTCCTGGGAAGCCTTTAGCATTCCTGAATTGTGGTGTTTGCACCACTGAATTTCTAGAGTCTCCAGGAGGATCTGGTTTGGAAAGGCAGCCCAGAGAGCCAGGGAATCCCAGGAYGGATTGGGTTGGGAGGGACCTTAAAGATCACCCAGTGCCACCCCTGCCATGGCAGAGACACCTCCCACTGTCCCAGGCTGCTCCAAGCCCTGTCCAACCTGGCACAGGGCACTGCCAGGGGTCCTGAGGCAGCCACAAATCTCTCTTGGTGCCTCACCACCCCCACATTTTGCCACCCTCCCAAAGCAGGAAAAGTGAGGGCTAAATTTGGGTTGAGACAGCTGATTTCTCCCCAGGAGTCCTCCCCGTCCCTTCCCRGGACCTCCTGCTGAGAAACCAGAGCTGAGCTGGAAGAGCAGGAATTCGTGGGAGGTTTTGAGCATCTGCTCCCAAAAGGAGCCCCGAGCTCTGATTTCCTCCCTCAAACCTCAGCTCCTTTAAAGCTCTGAGGTCTTCTGAGCCTTGGAACTCCACTGGAAACCTGCAATTTGTGGGGAAGGCTTTTTTGTTTTCCTTTTCTTTCAACTCYGGGCATCTTTTCCCGGAGTAACGAGAAAGGGGCGGGATGTGATGCAGGGAGGGGGCTCATTAGGAGACGTCGTGGGCATGCACATATCAGAGGAGAATGGGATTTCTGTTCCCTCCTGGCTTTAATTTTGGCTTCCCAGGAGTTACGAGGTGCTGGGACWATGAAACAACTGCCCACGATTGTCCCACAGGCTGGGGGTTGGGAGGGGAACTGGGAATGTTTCAGATGATCCATGGGGAGGTAAGGAAGGATAATGGGGTGTGGGGTTWAACAGGTGTTACAGCAGGAAAACCTCTCCAGGGGTCTGTGGGTACCTGGGCCAGGACCACTTCCAAATTCCAGATCCCAAATCCACCTGGTCACATCCTGGCTGCATTCTGGGACAAGGTTCATGCAGGCACCACCCCATCACTGTTCCAGAAGGTGATTTTTATGGAAAAATGCTGGTGTCGGGCTCTGAGGGTGGAGCTTGAGCAAGGCAGGTAACACAGAACTGAGTTTTTGAAGGATTGTAGGATTTTGGAATTCAGTATCCCAAGGCAGGGCTCTCTCCAACCTTTCTCCTTCCCAAGTGGAATGTGGGGAAGAAGCTCCAAACCCCGTGTCAGAAACTGCCAGTGCTGCCATATGATAAAGATAACTAAATAAATATTCCAAAGTGGGAATCCAAAATTCAGGAAAAGTCTACTCCTGGACAGCTGGAAGGATTTGGGGAAATCAATAAATAATCAATAAATTAAGATATATTTGACAGGGCTTGGAGCAGCCTGAGATAGTGGAAGATGTCCCTGCCCTTGGCAGGKGATKRGATGAGATGGGATTTAAGGTCCCTCCTAACCCAGATAATTCTGGGATTCTATTTCAGGGGTTTGGCATTTCTCATCCCAGCTGCTGAGGGACGGAGAGGGCTTTGGATGGCACCTCTTTGCTAAAGCCAATGAACAAAACCCCAAATAAATTAAATTAAATTAAATTTTAAAAAAATAAAGAAACAACCCTATCTTCTTCCAAACCTTCAAGCCCTGTAAAATCTGCCTCTCAAAAAACGACATTAAATTGCCCAGGGCTGACTTAAAGAAGCAATTCCCCAGAGGGAATTTGGGAAGAGCAGCTGGAAAATAAYGTCGTGTATTTGACAAACAAACCCAAAGGAAAGCAGCAGGATGGGCAGGGGTTGCTCCCATTAATTCTCCCAAATAATCGTTTTATCGGAGCRACCGCGGGGCTGGAGCCCCACCTGTCACAACAGCAGCGTCCCTGGGCTTCCAGGAGTCTGAGGCTGCTCCGTGGAAATTCCTCTGGAATGAGAACACAGGATCCCTCYGGGATGGCTTTGTTTGGGTTGGGATGATAACGGCATCCACACAGACAGATTGTTTGGATAATTTTTGGGCACTGGAAAGGGCAAACCCATCCAGGAGCCGCTGGAGACGGTGGAAAAGCTCCAGTTCCCTGCAGCGGGCACTGGATCCGGCCCACACCACAGCAATGAGTGACAGGAAATCCTAGGGGAATAATTATCTCAYGGAAAAGACAGGTTTGCCCCTAAAATTGGGACGTTCTGACAATAAACAGCGTTGGGTTTGTSCTGCCCAGAAATCTCCGAGGTGAGGGAGCAAAAATCACCCTGCAGCACTTCATTTCAGGGAAAAGCAGGACAAAGAGTGATTCTTTSATGTCAGATCCGTGGATTTGTGTCCGGTGTTTCCAATCCACGTCCTTGCTGGCACAAGCTTCATCAGAGTCCTCAGTTCCCATCTTCCAAGGGAGACACTGCTGACAGAAAGGAATTTGTCCCGTGCCAGCACCCACCCAAAATAAATTAATAATGACATTATGGGCACCAAGCAATCCCTCAGGAGGTTCCCAACTCCCTGCAGCTGTTTTCTGAAGGAAGTTTAGGAACCATGACCAATAGCCAGGAAAAAGCCCAAGCTGATTCCACTGGCATTTCTCCTTCACATCGCKTTAATTCCCGGAGCTGGGCTGCCCTGGATTTTAGCAAATGGGGATTGCAGGGACACCTGGGTAAGTTAAAAAGATGGAGTGAGGTGCTCTGAAAATCCATGGTGATGAGCCCAAAGGGTTTATCTGAGCAGGAATTATCCTTCCCTGAAAAATTTGTGACAAGCAGGACCAGAGGCATTAAAAATATTATTGTTGTTATTATTATTATTATTATTGTTATTATTATTATTATTATTATTATTATTATTATTATTCCCATTTAATATCAGGAAAATGGGACACACAGGGACTGATAAAACAGATGCAGTGTTCCTCAGAGAGGTTTTTAAATCCTGGGAAATTGAGCCCAAAATTCCCAGACCTGTGCAAGGTCTTTATTTTTTAACTCCTGTCCAGCAGTCGCTCCCTCACTTCACATGCACAAAACCCATTTTTCCAACAGCTGGGAGACACGGACATGGGAAGAGCCCCACAGGGGGTGGGATGGCCAGCGGATCTTTCCCGTTTTTCAGCTGCTGGGGAGATTCCTGACTTTATAGCACCTGCATTGTACACACTGTGTGTGGGGCTGGAAATGCACAGCGCATACAATGTGGATTCTGTACGAGTCACGCACGGCGTGGTGGGGCCAGAGGCACTGGGGGAGGGCATCCATCCATGGATCCATCCATCCATG